GAGGCTGTAATGGAGTATTTAGGATTACAGCTGTTTACTGTAGTTTTGCACTTTTTCTTTCCCACTGCTTTGCTTCTGGCCCACAGAGATTTGCAGAGTCAACCTGCAGCACATCTTACAGTGTTTTGAAGTTATTTGATGTGCTCATTTCTGTTTGTTTAGGCCTTTGAGTTGGCAACAGGGGACTACCTGTTTGAGCCTCACTCTGGGGAAGACTACTCACGAGATGAAGGTTTGTTTGTCTCAGTTTTTCCTTTTTAAAATGGGACTTGAAATCCAATGGTTGCCTCTTCAAAATGAGACTCATCTTAAAAATCAGCAATACAAAAACTCCTTGCAAAAAGATGATTTACCCAAATCAGCAGCCACTGTGCTCAAGCCTCTTCAGTAAAACACTGTGCAAATGAAGTCCATGCTTTGTTCTGGTGTTTTGCATTCCTCTTGCTGCTGGTTTCTGTACCTTGTGTTTCAAACTGATTGTGCCTCAAATTGCCCCTATTTGTTTTCCCCTTGCTCCTTGTCTTTGTTGTTGCTTGGTGTAACCTGGTTTCAGGTGGGTCTCCAAAGCAATTTTTAAGGGATTGAGTCATTATCCTTATATTCCAGAGCATGAAACAAGCATAGAAAGGTTTGTGTGGATGAATCTCATTGTCTTTTTGGTTTTTCTTTTTTTTTTGTTTTTCACATGCAGATCATATTGCATTGATCATAGAACTTCTGGGGAAAATACCTCGCAAGCTCATTTTGGCAGGAAAATATTCCAAGGAGTTTTTCACCAAAAAAGGTAAAAGGAAACAAAGCAAGCATCACTTTATCCCCTCATCCCTTGCGCAAATAGACAGGAGTGTCTTGCTGGAAATGCCTGTTAGAAATAGATGCCAGCAAAGGTGGCATCTTTAAATCTTTTCCTTTGTTTCATGAAATGCTTTATTAGTAAAACTGCAGCTAAATGTGAGGCATTCTTGTCTTACTCCTAAAAGCATCCTACAGCATCTTGGTGTAGATCAAATGCAGCAGGTAGAAAAACAGCACAGTAGCTGTTTTGTCAAACTTGATGTGGTTTTATTTAGCTGATCTCTGTCAGCTAGAGGTGGGAAGTCAGTTTTGAAGGCTTTTCTAGACAGCTTGACTCCATTTCTGGCATGCCTGGCGTCATGAACCACGTTGCTCAGAGCACAGAACATTATCATAAAGTCCTGAGTACCCCAGAAATGTACTGAGTCAAAAAAATAGGTTTTGACCTAGTTCAGTAATTCTTTTTGTAAAAACAAGTCCTTCTTTATTAGTAGTGTGTTGCTGTCTCAAACAGTTCTCCATGCATTGTGTGTATCCCAGAGTCAGGGGCACAGTTTATCTGTCATGTCAAGCAGCATAATTGGTAATTTAGTGAAGTTAATAATTGCTGATAGGGGATCTGAAATAGCAAGGGGTGAAAAAAGACCCCTTTGAGGAAGTCCATTTTTACAACAGGCTTCTAAAGCAGGTAGAACAGGGAGTTTAATAAAATTGACTTCTCTCTTCAGCATGCCCTAGCAGTTTGTATTCCCTTAGAACAGTTCCTGAGTTCACTCTGTCATGTTTAGCTGTTTAGCCAATTTTACTGAGCTGCTCTTTTCCTGTACCTTGCACTTAAACCATTTGTCTTGGGTTTTCAGGTGATCTGAAGCACATCACCAAACTGAAGCCCTGGGGCCTTTTTGAGGTGTTGGTGGAAAAATACGAGTGGTCCCAAGATGAGGCAGCTGCATTCACAGACTTCTTACTCCCCATGCTGGAGCTGATCCCAGAGAAACGAGCTACAGCAGCAGAATGTCTCAGGCACCCCTGGCTTAACTCCTAGAAGCTTCCAAGCAATGCCACAACGTTACACTCTGGTTTACAGCATAGCCTACACACCCAGCTGCCCTTTCCCACATCCATTTTTCTCCTTGTTCACTTTCAGTGTGGAGTTCTTCCTTCAAGGCTTCCAAGATTTTAGATAAATCTAACCTGTTCTGCTGAGTTTGTTTGTGTGACTTAATGGGGACTCTCCTCAGCCAGTGGGCATCATCTGTGTTTTTGCCTTGATTGGGCTTCACCAAAGACTAATTGACTAGAATAAGAGATTTTTTTCCTCAGTCTCCTCACTGTTAAGCACCGTGTGTGACAGGTGTGAGCTCACCCGTGCTCGGATATCTCCCTTAGCTAAATTCCAGCTCTCCTTTCTTCCCGTGAAGATCTCACTGACTCAGGAGTCAATTTTCCCACTGTTGATTCAGTAGCTACTGATGGGGTGAGAAGTAACAGCTGGCATCAAGGTGGTGCCAGATCCTTGGCAAAGACCTTGCAATCCTCCATCACTCTCTAGGTGTCTACTGTATTTTTGCTTTCCAGTCAGAAACGTTTATTTAGTTCTAGCTGCTTTTGAGCTTTTTAAACCTAGGTTTTAGTATGCTTTATTTCTTCCTCCAAAGTGCCCTGTCCCTTTACGTTTTCTCCTTCCCTGTTCCCTTGATAGTCAGAATAGTTTCTGGATTTGGTGATGTTTTCTACTTCAACACAACACCTGTGACTAAAAAGTGACAAGCAAAATAAGCAAAAGCTGGAACTGACTCAACGCACAACCCTCAGCAAACAGATGGGTGCACCCTCAGCCTGCAGACAGAGCCTTACTGCAGGCAACTCTTAACATTATAGTGAGCCATAAGTTTTTGGGGTTTTGTATCCCTTACTGGCACTTTTTTGCCTTGCTTGAGGTGATATTCTTGAGAGATTGGCTTTCACTGATGCAGTCTGCTCTGACTTTTCATTTTAGGCCATTCACTTTTTTTCCCAAGGGAAGGGTTGCAGCACCTGTATCACAGGCATGCTGCAGCCCTGGACTCTGAAAAGCAACACTTGAAATTCCACTGTAAAGATTTATTTTAATTTGCTTCAGGTGCAGGCCTTCAGAAATAACTTCCCAGGATGGGACTGCCTTTTATTATCTGGGCCATTAGCACAAGAAGAGAGCTAGCAGAAGTGGAAGAGAAATGACTTTTCCACATAGATACTGGATTAGAAGCTGTTTCTAGAGTTACCCCAAGTAAGAAATGTTGAAGCTGTTTCTAGAGTTACCCCAAGTAAGAAATGTTCTATGGGGCTTCTATGTAAACTTCTCAGAGGGGGTTTGAATATAATGGGTTAAATGGATTAATTTTAATTAAAAGTTAAATGACTGTGGCATTTGATAGTTCTGGGATGGCTTGCCCATCCTGTTACAGATTCAGTGCATCCCACTCTGCTCTAAGCAAGATTTGGCAGCATTGGGACTTCAGAGTCACCTCCTTACTCTGGACCAAACAGGCCTTTGGATTTGTGGGGGCTTGCAGAGGATAGAAGTTTTTGGAGACCATGCAGATGCTGTCCAAGACCATTTCCATTGCCAAAGCTGCCAAGACCACTGTTACGTGTCACTTCTGTGTGTGTGTTTGGGAACTGTAAGGATCATTCACTCACAAACCAGGTCATTTAATCCACTTGAACAGAGTTTCTCCAGAGCCTGATTTGGCTTATTTATGCAAATCGTGCTGCATGTTCCTCTAGTGGTAGATCAGGTTCTCTATGCATATAATAAAAAAAGAAAGGCAGGTAACATAAACCAAAAAGTGTTTTAAACTGAGTTAACCTTTTCTTTTGTTTTTTTTTTTTTTCTCCTTTCATCTGGCATTTTCCAGTTGTGGGTCATTTCTGTGTCTGTTACAGGAGGACTGCAGACAGTACTGGTTTCCAGCTGACTGTGAAGATAACATTGGCAGGGCAAACAATTCCTGTGGTCTTGAAAGCTCACCCAGTCCTGCCTGCTTGAGACTGGCTGATGAAGGAACATTTCCCACAAGGGAAAACGCACTCTTTGACTGCTGAAAGCTCCTTCCCATCCTTCCTTCCCTTCCCTCTGCCAGCCCTGGCTGGAGGGGGCCTTTTTTTACCATGATAGCCAAGGCTAGAGCCAGCTTGTGAGTTGAAGCCCTGCAGAAGCTGTCATGATTCAGTCTTGTGCCGTCTGCTCGTTCATTTGGGGTCTGTTCCATTTCCAAATTGCTGTGACATGCTCACACTAAAGGATTTGTACTTGCTGTGTCAGTCTAAAACCTGAAGGAAAATACATTTTTATTCTTTCTACTTGGGTGCTTTGTCTTTTTTTTTTTTTTTCTCGTTTCCTTTGTGAAAGCCCTGCAATAAACAGATTATTTAATAACTGAGCCCTAGTCTTCATGCATTCCCCTTGTAATTCTGGTCTGAGTCAGGGGCTCAGGGATGCAATTTGCTTCACTAGTGAACACTCAGCTTTGATTTCCAGAATGAGATAGGTAAAGATTTTGTTGCTGGTGTTGTGATCTATTTTAAAAAGGGGAGAAGAGTAAAAAATAGGACAATTCTGCTGGAATTTTTCCATTCTAAAATACATTTTTCTTCAAGTCTGTCATATCTCTGCTGTCTTATCTAGCCAAAAGTCTCGATAAAAGCTTCCCACTTTTTTAGAGGGAAGCCTAAAACTGGGAGGTGCTTGTTAGAACTGAACTGAGTGCTGCAGGAGCCAGCAATGTACAGTGAGTAGAGATGAAAATTGTAATGCAGGCTGATTTGGAGTTCTGGCCAGGTCACAGCTGCTTTGTCTGCTGCAGAAATGGGCTGTGCCAAGGGCTGCCATGGGTGGGTGTTGGATGGGATGGGAGATGATGGCTTAATCAGATTAATTGGGTGGTGCAGGGAGTTGATGCTGACTGGCACCATCTGCTCTGCTCTGCAGGTGCTGTCCCAGGCCTGCTGCAGCTCAGCACGTTGGTTTCTGGTTTTGCTGTTTGGTTTTGTTTTGTTTTGTTTCTTTCCCCAGGAAAGTGCCCTTTTCCAGAGGTTGTGTTTGGTGATTCCTGCCCAGCTGGAAATTGGTCTGTCATGATATTTTTCCAGTGAAAGGGCAACCTGGAATATGGCAGAGGGTTTCCTCTGCTCTCAGAAGACGAGCACAAAACTCAAAACACTGATGTTTTGGTGGTGTTTTTTTTAATTCATAAATAATTTCCTTGAAAGAAGGTGTACAAACCCCCCAAAAAAGCAGCAAATTGCCATCCTTGCCCTCTTGTCCCTCTTGCTGATGGACTCAGAAAAACTCTCATGTCCATTTTGGGCTCTTCCCACCAAATAAGCTCCACAAGAGCTTTGAGCCAAGAGCAGCTCCATGGGTGAAGAAAATAGCTGTAGAAAATCCACAGAATTTGGTAAGTTTAAGCTTCCTAGAAGAGTCACTTCAAAGAAAAGGGCTGATGGAAGAAGATGTCCCTGGGAACAGAAAGAGTAAAGCAGCTGTTGAAAAATGTAGGAGGACTTCAAGTTTTATGCTGCTTTTATTTTGCACTTAGCAAGGGTTTGTGCTTTCCCAGCTTTGAGAGGCAAAGCAAAGACTGTTTCTTCTTTAACCACAAAGAAAACCAATGTGACTCCAGCACCCAAATCAGTTGTCAATCCTTTGGTAATCAGGGTACAGCAGTGACATTGTGCATGCTGGTAATGTAAAAAATCTCTGGGTTATCACTTACGTGGTGATCAGCTCTGTCAGTCATTTCCCTCTTCTGTAAAACAAAAAGAGAATTGCAGAGTTAATGTGTAAAACTGGAAGGATGAGTGTGCTTTGCATTTTCAAAAATGAAGATGTTTAAAACAAGATGAGGAGAAAGCCCCAGAGGCCTGGGAAATGTAATCTGGGTGAATTTGGGTTCCTGCCTTGTTCTCCATCCCTGCAGAGCAGTGAGTGACTGGCAGGGACGAAGCCACCCACCATCCACCCAAGCAACAGCAATGACCTCGATGCCTCAATTTTGAGCTTTCATGTTCTCGAGATTCTGTACTGCATTGGTATTTAACCCTGAACTTCATATAAAGTGTCAGCAGTTCTCCTTGCAGCTCAGGCACACAAAACAATCCTTTTCCAGCCCCAGAACCAAGGACACTGCTGCAGCTTCAGGCTCAAAAAGTGCCAACAACAGAAAATTGAGGAGAGCAAACTGGGAGGATGGGACTGCATCACCTGGAGCTGGAATTGGGCAATGAACCCCAATGTGGAAATGGACCAAACTTATCAAAGTGTGAAAACTCATGCCTAGCCATCCATTTTGGGTGGAGCCACGGCTGAGCTCTTGCACTGCCCAAGGTGCATCCTTTGAAAGCCTTTTAGTAAATCCCCCCTTTATTCTTTGAACTCTGTTCTGGGCAGCCTCTCCAGGCATCCCCCGTGGGGCTGAGGCTGTGCAGGAGCCTCAGGGCCGATCCCACCACACCCACCTTTGCTCTCCACTTTGAAATCCGAGGGGAGGAGGTTGTCCTGCCGGTTGCCCAGCACGAAGGCCAGGAAGGAGAGGATGAGGGCATCGAGGATGCCGATGATGCAGAGGATGTAGGCCCAGCGCACGGTGCAGGCGCCCAGGGTGTATTTGTCCGTTTTGTCCCCGCACATTCGCTTCACCTCGCTGGAGTCCCAACCATCGGGGTAGATCAGGCAGCCGATCATCAGCCCTGTAGCTGCAGGGACAGGGGGACATCGGGATCCTGAGCTGATGATGGTGCCTAAGATTTTTAACTTTTTATGTTTTACATCAATTCAGAGCTTTCTAGATTGCTGTAGCTTCTAGTGGGTTTTTTTCTATCTTTCTTTCCTACCTTATAAATACATTCCTATATATTGTTTAGTCTTATTCCAAGAAGAGAACCAAGTTCAAGAATGTTCCGTTTTCCAACCAGACATAACAAAAGTGGGGCAAAAGAAACCTCTGTACTGCTCCCAGAGGATCAGGACCCCAGGAATTATTACCTAACCAACTGACCTTTTGATTGGACAGTGTATAAGTGCACTAATCTCCTAACCTTATAAAAATTGTAGAATTACTATACCACATATACTTTTCACCACGTTGTTCACCTGAAAGCTTTCAACTAAAGATTTGCTTTTATATTCACCCCAACTGGAAATATGTATTCTATTTTCCAGGCATCAATACTGACGTGCAGAGAGCAGCTGGAGGAGCAAACATCATGTGCAAACACGTCAGGTACTACAGACTCGTCCCTTAAAGGGAGGAGCAGGATCTGCTGTGCTGCCTTCCCACGAGTCAAGGCCGTGCAGCACCAGCATCTCCTGTCTCAGCGTTTCCCAGCAACGTCTCTGCTCCCTCTGCACAGAGCCCTGGCCGTGTCACACCAAGGAAATCTCCAAACAAAACTGGAATGGGTTTATTCTGCACGAGAGGGAGACCCTGGCCCAGCGCCTGGCAGCTGATTCCAGCTTAGGGTAGAGCTGCTGTCAGCAGCAGTTTGTGGGCAGATGAATTCTGCTCGTTCAGCTCTGGTGGTTCCAGCAGCAGCTCCCGTGACTCTCTCAGAGCTCACACGCCCTGGGAGCTGCTCCAGCCTGGCCACAGGGTCCCCACCACCCCACCTTTGCCATGGCAGCTGCACCATCCCCAGTGAAGGACAGCTCATGCCCCAAAATCTCAAAGTGCCTTTTTCCCCTGCTCAGAGAAATTGTATTTACTGGACAAGAACAATGGCCAGGCTTGGGATGAGTTCATATACAAGGTTTTGGGACACGATGAACAAAAGCCCCTCACAGGCTCCACTCTTACATTGGAAGTAACTGGTGCAGATGTGAGGCAGCCCCTGGCTCCTCTCACACAACCCCGTGATGGACAAGCAGATGTTTGTCCCTGCCCCTCAGGGACACCTGCAGCCTCCTGAAATGCACCTTGTCCCCCACCTGTGCCCCTTCTCTGCCACCAGGTGCTCAGTAAACCCCAACCCCCTTCTGGGGCAGTGCCCTCGTCCTTTGCCAATGTTTTCTTTTCCCTTGGCTTGGGGACAAACCAGCAGCAAGGTGAGCAGCAGCTTCCTCGGTCTGCAGAGAGGATTTCTCTTCCTGGAAAAGCAGTTGGTTAACTGCATACAGATTAAATCTTCCCTGTAACTAACAGAGAAATGGGGGGAGTGGGAAATAAATAATTTCTGTGAAATTGTGCCCTGGCTCAGAGCAAAGACCAGGAAATGGATCCTCTCTTAGCCTGCACACTTTTTAAAATAATTCCTAAAATGCAGCAGTACCTGTCCATCTGGCCAGGACTGCCTGTGACAATTTCCTCTTCCCCCATTCAGAACAACAACAAAAACCATAAAAACCCCAACAACCAGAGCAAAGCCTGACTCTGCTCCTGCTCCCCAGGAGGCTGAGCTGCCCCAAGCTTCTTATCTAAATCTTTGCTTGAGCTGGATTCTTTAGCTGGGAGCTGAAGGAGCCCCTCTGCCCCTCCCAGGGGGTGTCAGCGCTGCTGCCCCGGCTCGCATCAATTCAGGGGCAGCAAAGCCGGCTCGGGTTTCAGCTGAGGCTCCAAACAAACGCAGGAATTGGGTTACAGGTGTCAAGTGCCTCGGGGGAGAGATGGGGAAGGCTTGAGAAGCAAAGTGAGAAAATGCGAGTGATGGCACCAAATCAGTCAGTCAGTCCCCTCCTCGTGTTTCCTCCTCCCTGAGCTCAGGGAGTTCCTACAATGCACCAGCAAACATCACCCTGCTGCCTCCCTGCAGGACACCCAACACAGCAGAGCGCTCTGTGCCCTGGGGCTTTTTTGGGGTTTTTTTTTGGGCTCTCGACCTGATCCTCTGAAGCCTCCCTGCGGCTGAGCAGCAGCAGCGGCGTTGGGAGAAGCTGCCCCAGGTAAGTTTTGGCAGCCACCAGGTTTGGGCTGCGTCTCACCTGCTCTAAAAGGAGTTTTTAACTAAAAACTCCCCACTGGTAGCCAGTAACGAGGAGCAAATGGCAAGGAGGTGACACTGGGGTCTCTTAGCTGGCCCAAGCCCCATCCCCAGCAGAATGGAGGGCAGAAAGGGAAAAGGGTCGGCCCACGGCAGCCCCCCCGCATCTCCCCGCGCCGCTCACCCGCTGCCAGCTGCATCCAGGCACACACTTTGTACACGGTGGCTGCGTTGCAGAAGAAGAAGAGGCTGAAGCAGAGGATGGTGCCGATGATGAGGAAGGTGGAGATGCCTACGAAGAACATGGCAGTTTTGAAGGCACTGGAGGGGATGGTGCCGAAGTCCAGCGGGCTGCCCTTGCAGATGAGCTCCCCGGTGAGCGCGTTGCCGATGCAGTAGGAGAAGAGGCCGAAGTAGCCGGCCTGCGGCGTGTCGATGCTGTCGCCGATCCAGTAGGGCTGGATGAAGGTCACCACCATCAGGATGGAGAAGCAGAGCGTGAAGAGGGCCCAGAGCACCCCCATGGCCCGCGCGTTCCGCACATAGTTGGTGTGGTAGATCCGGGCCGCCTCCTGCGCCGGCAGCAGCTTGGACATGGTGGGGGCAGCGGCTCCGGTCCCCCTCCGGTCCCGGCCCCGCTCCGGTCCCGCTCCGGTCCCGCTCCGGCTCCGGCCCCGCTCCGGTCCCGGTCCCGGCCCCGCCCGGCGGCAGCGGGGGCGGCGGGAGGCTCCGGCAGCGGCGAACCCGCCCCGGGGGGAGGTGGCGAGACCTCCTCCCACCCCCTCCGAACCGGGGGGGACTCGGGAAGAACCGGAGCGACCCCGCTGCCGCAGCCGAGGCGGGCGGTGCCTTTCGGGATGCGCTCCCGGGATGCTCCCGGAACGAGCCCCGGGGATGCGCCCTGCGTGCCTGGGATGCTCTCTCGGGATTCGCCCTTCGCCGCCTTCGTGTGCCCTAAAATAACCCAAACATCGCCGGTGTGCACCCCGCGGTCTGTGCTGTGCCCCGCTGTGCCCCTGTGCCCTGCAATGCGCTCAGGGGTGCACTGTGTGCCCCCCTGTGCCCCCAGTACCGCCCTGGGCTGTGCCCTGCAATGCCCTGGGCTGTGCCCCGCTGTGCCCCTGTGCCCTGCAATGCCCTCAGGGGTGCACTGTGTGCCCCACTGTGCCCCCAGTACCGCCCTGGGCTGCGCCCCCAGTGTCCCCGTGCCCCGCTGTGCCCCCAGTACCGCCCTGGGCTGTGCCCCCAGTACCGCCCTGGGCTGTGCCCTGCACACCCGGGGTGTGTGTGGGGATGTGCCCGGGCCGCACCGTGCACCCCTGGGTGTGTCCCAGCATGTGCCACATGTCCCGGGATGCGTCCTGGGATGAGACCCAGGATGTGTCTTGACCTCCAGAATGTGCCAGGGGCTGTGCCGTGCCCCCAGGATGTCACCAGGCTCTGCCGTGTGCCCTGGGATGTGTCCCAAGTTCTGTTGGCTGCTCCCCTCTGCCCTCCCAGCCCGTGTCACCGGGGTCTTCCTGCACTGGTAGGGAGCACAAAGGCTGCTGCATCAGCGGGGTGGGGAGGGCAGGGAGGGCACATCCCCACAGCTCCACTGCACAAAGGGAGATGGCTCCTCCTGCCAGCAGGGCACCCTGGGGTGTCACCAGCACCTGGGCAAGGCCAGGTCTCTGCCCAGGGCCCATGTCCTGCTGCCAGAGGAGCATGGGCAGCCCCAGAGGGCTGCAGGCACTTGTAGCCACCTTGGCACCTCTATCCAGGAGCCACATCTGCCCTGCACCCTGAGAGACCACACAGGGTCAGCTCCTGTCGTTCCAGTTCCACGTGAGGGTGTGACAGTCACCTGCAGCAATGGCAGCCTCAGCATCCATCACTCCTGTGGCTGTCCAAGGCCAGGGCTGTGTGACCATCAATCATGGCCAAGAACAGCCAAACCACTGCAGGCACGAAAATCTGTGCCGTTCCCAGGGTTGTTTTCCCTTCATCAGCCCCACCCCCCCAAGGACTGAAACACAGAGCAAATATTTGGCAGGGCAGGCTGAAGTGCTGGCCCTTGGGCTGGGGGCCTTGGTGGGCTCTGGGTCCTTGCAGGGGGCTGTGCTATCTTGTACAATATGAACTTTCTCCAGCAGGTTTCATGATTCCATGTGAGAGCTGGAGGATCTGGTGGCTTTGCCATGGAGCAGAGCTCCTGCCATGGCCACCAGCCCTCCCTGTGCCCCTGAACCACCAGCAGCACCCAGCACGGAGGGCATTCCACAGAGCTCCAGCTCCACAGCCCACTGTGGGAAGCAGAGGAGGAACACGAAGCACAGAAGTGCCATTATTTTGTGTTCCCTCTGGCCAAAGGAGCTGCTAAGGGCAGGTTGGCATGGCCAGTGGGGACAGTCACATGGGAACAGGAGCTGGTGGCCCTGGGAACAGGAGCTGGTGGCCCTGGGAACAGGACCTGGTGGCCCTGGCTGCCCTGGCATCGCTGGGTCCCTGCCCTGGGCAGCGCAGCAGTGCCCCAGTGCCACGGGCTGAGGTGTGATAGGAGCAGCCACGTCAGCTGAGGGACACAGGAGCTATAAAAACCTGCTGGCCCCGTGTCCCAGCCACACCGAGCCCACCATGGCCAACGTGCTGCCTGCCTGCCTGCTGCTGGCCCTGCTGGTGCTGACCCCAGCCCTGCTGGCACACCCAGAGCAACAGCAAGAGCAAGAGCAAGGGCAAGAGCTCACCTTCAGGCTGGTAAGGGACAACCCTCCGTGCGTGTCCCACCGCTGCAAGGGACACACATGGAGGGTTGGAGGGGTCTGCTGGGTTTTCTGGTGTTGTGAGGAGACTTGGAGCCTGGGAAATCAGCTCTGTAAAAGGATAGGGAACACAAAAGTGGATCAGATAAGCTCTCAGCTGCTTGAGTCAGCCAGGACCCCCACCCTGGATGGTTCACAGGGCCTGGGGAGGGGAAATGTGGCATCTCAGCTGTCCTGTGAGTCCTGCAAAATCCACTTGGGTGGGTGGTATTTTGGGCCAGACTGAGGAAATGCTGCAGAGTGGGAGGTTGGGGCATGGGGGCAGTGGTGCTGAGCTCAGCCCAAAGGCAGAGCTGGTGTTCCACACCAAACCCCATGGGCTCCCAGCCAGGCTGAGATTAAAGGGGAACAAAGAGGGACCCGGTGCTCAGGCCCTGCCCTGTGCTGCAGGACATTGGGGAGCTGTGCATGCAGAGTGTGCAGTGCAAGAGCGGCTGCTGCCACCGGGACAGGGGCCTCAGCCTGGCCCGATGTGCTCCCAGGGCAACTGAGTCCCAGGAGTGCTCTCCAAAGGTAGGTGCTGCCCTGCTCCCGGGGCTGGGCAGGGATGGGGCACGTCCCCCACGCTGCACTGAGTCCTTGTTCCCTGCAGAACCTCCATGGGGTCTACTACAAGTGTCCCTGCGAGACGGGCTTGTCCTGTGATGCCAACAGAACCATCGTGGGCACCATCACCAACAGGAACTTCGGCGTCTGCAGGGACCCCCAGGACCTCTAGAGCCAGTGGTGAAGAGAGAGCCCCCCCTGTGCCCCTCTGTGCTGCCCCTGCCCCCCTGCCTTTCCCCCTCTCCAGGCATTCCTGAGTCTGGCTGAGGGAGAATTTGAATTAGACCAGCTTCTGCCAAGCTTCAAGGTGGTGTTTTCACTCAAGGCGGGTCCCTGGCCCAGGACAGGGACAGCAGGGCCACCAGGACGTGCTGGCTTCACCTGTGTGTGTGTGCAGCATAACCAATGTGGGCCAGGCCAGCAGCCAGCCACGGGCTGAGCTCTGCCCAAGGGGGGGTTTAAAAAGGGGATGCAGGGAAGGGGAAGGTGCAGCAGCCCCAGGGTCTGAGGGAGCTGCTGGGGTTGTGCTTGCCCTGGTTTATCTCCTGCTGTGGCAGGGTGAGGAAGAGGAGGCACCTGCCTGGCAGAGCTGTGGAAGCAGCAGGAGGTGAGGGGATCATAGGGAGGGTGTTCTTGGCTTCTCCAGTGCAGACTTCACTTCACCCCGTGCTCTTCTATCCTGTGGGGATCACAAGAACCAGGCACCCACAGCACAACCCCCCACTGCCCCCAGGGCTCTGCAGCAGATGGGGAGGCCACAAAATCTGGGGGACAACCCCTGGCAGCTGAGGAGGTGCTGCAGGAAAGTTTCTTTTCAGCACAAGGGTGACTGGCAGCTTGATGATCTGCACCTGCAGAAACACCAGGGACACATCTGGGAGGGTGGCACAGCTTGGGGGAGTCCCCATTGCTGAAGGGGAACACGGGGGGCAATACAGGGACCTGCTGGCCCCTGCCAGTCTGGCTCAGAGGGGCTGCAAGAGGAGCAAATTCTGAGCTGGAATTTAGTTTTAAACTTGTGGCGGGTGGGTAAAATCTGAAGGGTCTTGTTCTCATTGTGGTGGTGGTTCTGGCAAGAGGCTACAGATCAATGTCCTCACCGGTGCAGGATGAGGTGTGGGGGCGCTGGGGACAGGGATGGGGACAGCAGCCCCTCTCCTGCAGCATCCAGCCCACCCCAGGCAGGGCGAGGGGAGGGGACACAGGGCACGGAGTCTGTCCCTGGGGTCCTCATCTGTGCGGGGTCCCCAACCCGCTCCAGTGACTGTTCCAGCCCAGCGGGAGCGCCCCGGAGAGGCTGGCACTGCCCGGGATCGGGGGAGCCCTGCCTGCCCGGGGTTTTGTGCTCCTGGCAGGGGCAGGATGCCAGCAGTGCCCAGCCCAGCCCAGCACCGGCAGAGGGCAGCGGCACCGTGCCCGGCTGGGACCCCCAGCCCAGGGACAGCGCAGCCCTGCGGTGCCCGGAGTGCCCCCAGCTCTGCCACCCCTCGGGTCCTGCTCTGGGGTGCCCTGGAAGGACGGGCAGCGATGTTGGGGCTAACCTCTGCTGTGTGCTCGATGGGGTTTTGTGGTGTCCCTACGCTGGCAGAAGGACGATGGGGACACCGGAGAGGTGGGAAGGGGGTGGCTGTGCTGAGGTGGGGGTCGCATGAATCCCCCTCCCCTCCCCTCTCCCCGCCCCATCTCAGCCCTATATTTACTGGTGAAGCCGCGGCTTTGTTTTGGCAGCTCTGGGCTGGTAAATATTGGCTTAAAGCGAAAAGCAGACGCCTGACTCACGGCTCTCAACAAACACAGGAAGGGGCCCCTGGCGAGTGTGGGGCGCTGCCAGCCCTGGGGACAGGGGGACCCCGGCAGGGTGGGGACAGCCCAGCTGCAAAGCGCGGTGCCAGCGGGGCATCCTTGTGCAGGAGGGCTTTGCTGCAGCGACATTCCCTGTGGGGAGACGTGGGGGTACAGGGATTGGGGTGCCCCTTCCTCCTGCCCTGCCCTGCGGGGCTCTCCTGTTTGGTTAAAGAGCAGCGGGGAACATGAGGCTGAAGGGATGCTGGGGGTGAGGGCAGCCCAAGACCCTCACCCCATCAGCAGGATTGTCCCATCCCCTGCGGGTCACCCAAGGGTGTCACCCAAGGGTGCCCCTCTCCCCAGGGAGTGTGTGGCACATCCCCGGTGTCCCCTCGCCCCCCCGGCCGCTGTCACCCCAGGGTACAGGATGTTCTCAGCCAGCCCAGCTCCCGCTCCCCAACCTCTCCCCGCCTCTCCCCCCCTTCCGCAGCCCTCGGCCTTCACCTCTCCTCCTCTGCTGCTTTAACCCTTTGCTTTGCCCCCAAGCACCGCCTTTCCCTCTTCTCCTTTTTCTCCTTCTCGATTTCTTTTTAATTTCTGCGCTGATGCACCGAAACTCCCTCTCTGCCCGTTCCTGGGGGTCCCTGCACCCCCAACTCGCTGCAGCTCCAGTGGGTGCCCACCCAGTGCCCAACTTTGCAGACACCCCCAAAAAAGTCACCCCACTGCCAGGCTTGCAAAATACTCCAAGGAAAGCGTGTGTGTCTGCCTGTCTGTCTGTCTGTCTGTGTGTGTGTCTGGATGTTTTCTCCTTCAGCCTCACCCTGGGGGCAGAGAGGTGCCAGCCGCAGCCCTGGTACGGGGTAAATGTGTTTTTTTGGGGGGTTGAGCTGCCCCTGGCCCTGCAGCTCCAGCTCAGGACAGTGATTTCAGCAGGGAAAACCCCAGGCACAGCCAAATTAACTCCGTGTCCCCCCACACTGCACACCCCACTTTGCTGCAGCCTGGGGTGAGGATGGTGACCCTGCAGCAGGGTCAGAATCACCCCTGGGCGTTGGGCTGGGGGGCACAGGGGGGGCTGCTTGTGCCTGAGGGGTTGCCCAGAGCCATCTGAGAGTGCACAGAGGTGTTTGGGGGTGCACAGAGGCACCTGGGGCTCCCTGCCTGCTGCTGGCTCTGGGGTTTGCTGCCCCCCATTTGCCTCTACCCCTGGTGGTGCTCAGGACACGGCCAAGGCATGGTTTGGGCAGCTCAGGGGGCAGCAGCCCCTCTCGGGGTGTCCCTTGGCCAAAGCAGGATCCAGAGGGATGAAACAGATCCTCGCAGGGTGTGGGACACCCCAGCCAGCACCAGGGATTTGGGGAATCCCAAATCCTCGGGGAGATGCCCCGGTCTGCCCCCACCCCCTCAAGCTGTGCCTCCATGGCAGCTCCAAGTCGTGGGGCACAATGGGGTGCAGACCCCAGCGATGTGGGGCACAATGGGGTGCAGACCCCAGGGATGTGGGGCACAATGGGGTGCAGACCCCAGCGATGTGGGGCACAATGGGGTGCAGACCCCAGCGATGTGGGGCACAATGGGGTGCAGACCCCAGCGATGGGGGGGCTGATGCTGTGACTTAGGATTTTCCTACATCTGGGCCAGGTTTTCACTGTCCCAGGGAGATGATTTTAGGATGAAGCTGGCGAGAAGCCATCCTTCAAGCTCTCTCTGGAAGAAAAGCAACCTTTCTAGCAAAAAGAAAAAAAAAAAAAATTCATGGAAAGCTCTGGTTTGCCACTTCTTGCCAAAACCAGTTGTTGATGATTTTTCTCGGCTGCTTTGGCTTTGCCTTTGCCTGTGACAGAGGGAAAAATGACAGACGTGCTCCTGTTTTCCCACTCTGATTTTTTTCTCCTGAAGCTGGAAGAGGGGAAGGATTGGACTGAAGGACAGGGACCTATCCTGGGCAAGTATCAGCCCCAGGGGCTCCCAAACCTGACAGAGGATCTCAGTCTCTCCTCCACCCTCAGGGTTGGCCTTGGGGCTGGAAGGGGGGTCCCTTGAAGAGTCCCCCCAGAGTTGCCGAGGGCTGAGGACTGCCCAGCTCAGGGCAGTAGTGGAGGCTGCAAATTGGACATGGGGATGCAGAAGTGGCCCTGGGAGGACATCCAGGCACCCACAGACCTCCACAAACCCCCCCGATGCTGCCCACGAGGGCACAAGTGGAAAACTTGTGGGATACTGGGGTGGGATATTGGGGGGATATTGAAAGGGATGACGGGGGGGGGGGGCATGGAAAATGCAGAGGGGAGCATTGGGGGGATGCTGGGGAATACTGGGGTGGGATATTGGGATATTGAAAGGGATGATGGGGGGGTCCTGAGAGGTGCTGGGGGGAACACTGGGGGGGATGCTGAGGGGGTGCTGGGGTGGGATATTACAAGTGATATTGAAAGGGATGACAGGGGGCTCCTGGGGGGTGCTGGGGGGATACTGGGGGGTGCTGGGGGGATATTGGGGGGGATGCTGGGGGGGGGCAGGGGTGGGATATTACAAGGGATATTGAAAGGGATGACAGGGGGGTCCTGAGGGGTGCTGGGGGGATACTGGGGGGTGCTGGGGGGATACTGGGGGGGATGCTGGGGGGGTTACTGGTGCTTGCCGGGGGGGGGTTGCCGGGCGGTGGTGCTGGGGGCCACACCACACCGCAGCAGGCAGGAGCCCCGGGCTCGCCCAGCCGCTCCGCGGGCCCCGGGAGGCGCTGGCCGGGTGCCCCCCCGGCGGCCCGGAGCTGAGTCAGGCTGTTCCCGGCGCTCCCGCGGCCGGTACATCGCGTCCCCGCGCCCGGCGCCTGGCACCGCGCCCGCCCGGTGCAGCTCCCGCCGCGGGCACGGCCCCGCTCCGCTCCCGCCGGGCTCCCGGGCGGCGGCTCCCGGCGGGGAGAGGCTGAGAGCGGCTCCGGAGCCCCGGGAGCTGCCGGTGGGGTTTCTCGGGGTTCAGCCGTAACGCTGAGCCCCAGTCACGCTCCGTGCCCAGCCCGGCTGTGCCCCCATCCCGGGCACCCCGCAAGCATTGGGGCACCTGAGGGTGATCTCCAGGAGTTTTTGGGTCTCCCATCAGGCCGGCAGGAACATCTCCATGGAAGGGCACAGCCCCCGCACAGCTGAGCGCCCTCGGGGGGTTGATGCCCCATCACCCCTGTGCCCACCCCCGTGCTGCCAGCGCGGTGCCAGCGGGGCATCCTTGTGCAGGAGGGCTTTGCTGCAGCGAGATTCCCTGTGGGGAGACGTGGGGGTACAAGGATTGGGGTGCCCCTTCCTCCTCCCCTGTTTGGTTAAAGAGCAGCGGGGAACATGAGGCTGAAGGGACGCTGGGGGTGAGGGCAGCCCAAGACCCTCCTCAGGGCACCCCCACGCTGGAGAGGGACCCCAGGCACCCCCAGGCACCCCCAGGCACCCCCAGGCACCCCCAGGCACCCCCAGGCATCCGCCCTCCCCGGCCGAGGCTGGTACAGCTCGTTACGTCCAGACCGGAATGTACTTTGTGTTAGAAGTGGCCACACGCCAGCACGGCAGAGCCGGACTTTATTTATCCTCCCTGCTCCGGCCCCGCTGCTGCATCCTGCCCTTGCTGGTGTGGGGCTGGGGGAGCTCTGGGCTCGGTCCACCTCTCATCACCAGCCGGGGAAGGCAGCGATTCTCCCCATTTCCTCAGAAGGGAAATAATCTGGGAAAATATTTGTGCCCTTTCCTCTGGTAAAAGCTGTCCCCTGGAAGGAAGAAATGGGAGCTCAGGGATGGATCTAGGATCTAAGCCTCTGCAGGGAGGTGCCCCTGTCTGCTGGATTTGGGGCTTTTTGCAACAAGAGCCAGAATTTAGGCCACAATCTGGTAATTTATGGATTGGAAATGCCCGTGGAAAGATCTGGCTCTGGCCACACCGCAGGGTAGGGCTGGATCAGGCCTGTGCCAGAGCAGGGACTTCTCTGGGGGTCCCCACGTGTGAGGGGGATGTGTCGGCCCCTTGGCTGTTCAAAAGTCGTGTGGGGAGCCGTGAGTCTGGGCAGAGAGGGGGAGACTGCCACAGCCTGGGGAGGGATCCAGGGACTGCCCCAGGGTGGGTCTGGCTGATCATTGCACACCCATCATCCCCCCCACCGGCCTTCCCGCAGGGAGATTTGGGGTGAGTTTCACCCAGAAAGTGGCTTCCCAGCTGCTCTGCATCCCCGGGGTCGACAGTCCTCATGCCAAGCGAGTGGTTTTGCCCTCCTGCCCCATCCCCCACTGTGGGAATCCAGGGCTTCCCTCTGGCTGCCCTGGGACCCTGGCAGGGGTCAGGAACCCCCCTGGACAGAGCCCCCAGAGACACTGTCTGTGATCTCTGTCCATGGAAAAGAGTTTTCAATCTTACAGGATGAATTACAAGCTCTGAGTGTTTGATATAAGTAATAATTAAGTGTGGCACGGGTGCAAAAGTAAAATTTTAGGATTCTAGATTAGGGGTTCAAAGAGGACAAGATGGAGGAAATTGGGTGTGCCTTGTCCTTTTCCTCCTTCTTCATGCCCTCCATGTTTCACTGCGGTGTTGGCATTTTTCTGTTGGTTCAGGCTGGGGACACACTGTCCAACGTAGGTGACAGATATTGGCACGTTATTGTAAATCCAGCACAGGTAGTTTGTGGTATTTGATGTTTGTACCATCCCACTGAGGGCAGAGCCCCACACGCTGCCCTGCAGGACAGAGCTGCGGCAGGGCAGCAGAACATGTTAGAGATAAACAGAATAAACAACCTTGGAACCAGCACAGATGAATTATGGCTTCTGCTTTGGCAGCGGGGCTGAAAGACAGAGATTTTCTACACTCTCAGAATCATCAATACCTGCAGATTCTGACACCCCACGTCCCCATGTCCCCATGTCCCCACGTCCGTCCGTTCCTGCTGGGAGCCGCTCTGCACCCACAGTGACAAGGACACGCTGTTCTCCTGTCCCCAGCGCCTGTTGTGCAAGCCCTGGCTGCACCTCCCATGAGCACAGAGCTTCCCACGGGCACGGCCCCGCTCCTGCCACGCTGCACCCCCGGTGCCAACGGGGCCCTCCGAGGGGCACACACACCGCAGGCATCGCCGGCCTGCAAGAAAAAGCTGCTTGGAGCCCCAAAATGACACTGGTGCTCTGGGTTCTGAGGGGAAGGATGGGTTTGATCCCCCGGGAAGAGGAGGATCCCTGCCCTGAGCATCGTTTTGTGGTGCCACACGCGAAAGGAAACCAAGAGAAAAGAGAAAAGCCACTTCCTCCGCTCTCAGGAGATTCACTGATGTGGCTCAGCGCTGTGCAGCCAAGGTGGAGGGACTCCTCTCCTCCCCACGCTCTCCAGGCAGATTAACGCTGGTTATTTTTAGCAGAAGACAAGGATGAATAAAAATACCCCCTGCTTTATTTTAATTTTTTTTTTTTCTCTCTCTTTGAGGAAGCTGCTCTCACCTCACTCGAGGTGCTCAGGAACCAGCAGGGAAGGTTCCTTGGCTTTGCTCCCTGCTTCCAGACCTTCCCCAAGACTCCCTGTCCTTCCAGAGCTGGGCTCAGGGCTGGGGCAGGACATGTGTGGCCAGCTGGAGGGCCAGGGGGAACAGGCAGTACCCCCGGCAGGCGTCCCAAAGCCAAACAGGATTATTTATGGAACAGATTTCCTCCAGGTTGTGTTACAGGGATGGGGGTGAACGGGGCAGACCCCAGTGCTGGGAGAGGGGAGGGTTTAGGACATCTCCCCACCCAAGAAACAGAGTGAGCTGAGGGGTCTGGCACTGCCATAGCAGTGATTTGGAAGATGTTTTTTATTTTCTATAAAAGCAACTCTGATACTTTATTCCCATGTATTTTTTGGTTTTTTTTTGGAGAGGGGGGTTCTATGCAAACAAAAAAATTACCATTTTTACAGTACAAGGACAAACTAGGCTGAACCTCCTCATTGCTGCCATTGGTCCCATGGGGTTTTTCAGGGTTTTGGTGTTATCTCAGGGGGCTGATGGAATTATGCTGTGGGTTTTCCTGGTATTGCAAACCCGCAATATTTTAACTTTGTTTTGTAAATGAATATTTAAAGCTCTTGGAAATTTAAAGCCAGGAGGGAAATGTTTGAAACCACATGCGAGATTCACCAGGGTTATTTTAGAGGGGGGAAAATTAAATGCCATGAAAACAAATTTTTTCCCCTTTTTCTAAAGTAGGCTTTAATTTTCACTCTGTATTTCTGATGAGTGACACCGGGGTCTAAATTACAGCAGGGAAATCAAACTCAGCATATAGAGCAGACCTGTGAGACAGCACCCACCAAGGCAGAGCTGCCTTCAGCCTGGCCCTGAAGATTTTATTGGATCAGTGGGAATGAGATGAGGATTGGGAGCTGCAGGCACTCATTACAGCACAAACCTGGTAAAAAATGACCACTTCATAAAAACACTCAGAGATGTCCCAATTTATATCTGCCCCAACTTTTTTTTTTTTTTTTTTGCCCCTATTGGCTCAGGCGCTGCAGCGATGAAGTATTTGATCACAAAAACGCTGATTTCTAATCTCAGGGCGGTATTGGGGCAGCTCTTGACAAAACCCTTATTTCCTGCCGGGGCCGGGCTGTCCCTTGTCCCCTGTCCCCTGTCCCCGCTCCTGCCGGGGCCGGACTGTCCCCTGTCCCACCCGGGCCGGGCTGTCCCCTGTCCTTGTCCCCTGTCCCCGCTCCTGCCGGGGCCGGGCTGTCCCTTGTCCCCTGTCCCCGCTCTCGCCCGGGCTGATCCCTGTCCCCGCTCCCTGCCGTGCCAGGCTATCCCTTGTCCCTTGTCCCCTGTTCCTGCTCCCTGCCGGGGCTGGGCTGTCCCCTGTCCCTTGTCCCCTGTTCCTGCTCCCTGCCGGGGCTGGGCTGTCCCCTGTGCCACCTGGGCCGGGCTGTCCCTGTCCCCTGTCCCACCCGGGCCTGGCTGTCCCCTGTCCCTGTCCCCTGTCCCCTGTCCCACCCGGGCCGGGCTGTCCCCTGTCCCTGTCCCCTGTCCCCTGTCCCCGCTCCTGCCGGGCCGGGCTGTCCCCTATCCCTGTCCCCTGTCCCTGTCCCTGTCCCCTGTCCCTGTCCCTGTCCCTGTCCCCTGTCCCTGTCCCTGTCCCTGTCCCTTGTCCCTTGTCCCCTGTCCCTGTCCCTGTCCCCTGTCCCTGTCCCTGTCCCTGTCCCTGTCCCTTGTCCCTGTCCCTGTCCCTTGTCCCTGTCCCTGTCCCTGTCCCTGTCCCGCTCCCTCCCGGCCCCGCCGCTGCCACCCGGCCGAGCGCGCGGGCACATCGCTCTGATTTGCATATCGCCGCGGCCGCCGCCAATGGCAAGGTGGGAACTGGTGACGGGCAGGCGGCTCAGCCAATAATCCGCCAGTGGGGCGGGCTCAGGGGCGCGGGGCGGGGCGGCCCGGCCGGGCGGGCTCGGGGGCCGCTCGGAGCGGCGGCGGCGACAGCGGCGACAGCGACAGCGACAGCGGCGACAGCGGCGACAGCGGCGACAGCGGCGACAGCGGCGACAGCGGGGACAGCCACGGCGACAGGTGGGACCCGCACCCTGCGCGGGGCCGCCGCACTGCTCGGTGAGCGGCTGGGTGAGCGTGGGGCACTGCGGGCTTGGGGACCCCACTGGGGACACGCGGGGACAGCGGTGTCCCCAGCGGGGCGGGGGCGCTGGGGAAGGGGATGGGGGTGAGGATCGGAGCGGGGTTAGTGCCCCACGGAGCTCCCCGGGATGCCGGGAGGAGCCCCCGCAGCGGTGCCCGGGGATGCTCCGGCACATCCCGGGCTGGGGCCGCCGCTACCGGGGGGAATTTCTGCTTTCCCCGCTCCCCGTCCCCATCCGCGGCTCCCGGAGCTGCCGGAGCGTTCCTTTGAAGCACAGAGACCCCGCAGGGTGT